CCTGAAAACAGTATGTTTTATAATTATGTGTGCATTTGAATATTCTTCTAATTTCATTTCTTTCTTATTCTCTCTTCTAGTTGATGACAGTGCAATTTTGGATTGCCAGTTCAGTGAATTTTATCATACTCCTCCACCTGGTTTTGAAAAAATATTGTTTGAGCAGCAGATCTTCTGAATGTTTGTTTTCAAAACTTGCACCTCTGCACCACCACACAAGCGTTCACCACTTAATAAAGCTCTCCCTGATCTAGAGATGAGAACACATTCTGGAAATTTCTCTTCTTACTGTTGTCTAAGGGACCCGTGTGTTCATCATACCATACTGAAGTTGGATTTAAAATGTCTAGGCATTGTGATAGAAAAATCAGCATTTGGGGCCTCTTATTTAATCTTATTTAAACTAATAAACCATGGGTTTGATTAACAGTATTACGTGGTAACATGTATATAAATATTTAAAGGGATTTTTCTTATATAAAGTATTTGTTTGACAGTAATGTGTAATTGAGTGATTTTTTTTGTCATTCTGAGCTTGAGTCATCACATCTGTAAGCCAATAATTTTTTGTCTCCTTGTCCTTTTTGATAAATTGAACCGGCAGTAACTTATATATCTGGCAGCTTAGCTTTGCTAACATATTTCCTCTGTTTCATGGACCACTTTTCTTAAAACAACCTGCTTCTTTTGCTGTGTTATATCACTGCTTTCTGTTGCCTTTTTGAAAGGTGAGAAACTCTAGTTATCAGACCATCTTGTTGAAAACTATCAAGCTGAGTAAGAAGTGGTTGATTGTATGTAGTACACTGGCAGGCATTTACAAGAGTTATGATGCTTTAAATCTGAATGAGCCAAGTGTGGTGGCACACAGCACCTGGGAGACAGTTTGAGGCTAGCCTGGTTCATATACTAAGTATGAATACCAAGGCAACAAGGACTATGTAGGGAGACCCTATCAAAAAAAAAATCTAATTGTATATTTGCTGTAAGGAATAATAAACACTTATTAAGGATTATTCAATATTGTATTTAAAACATTCTTCTGTTTTGTTTTTATTACATGGTAATAATTTTAGAAGTTTTGAGATAAGTGAGTCCTGACAATCCTGAGTCTTTGGTCTTCTGTGAGTCCCTGTCCTTTAGTTAACACCTGACTGAAATGACCACATCTTCAGGTCCATTCTCCTCCAATAAGCATAGTCAGGATGCATCACAAGTGGTATGGCGCATGTGTGTGGGGCAAGGAACACATGGGCGTTAGAATGCAAAGAACAGTTGCCCAATCTCCTGCCCTCTGATGAGTTTCCTTAGAGCCTTGGGGCTCTGGTGGTTTCCCACCTTATGCAAAAGGTAGGTAATCATACTGATTTTCTGAGGGCCTGTAACTATTGATAGTTGTGTAAAATGCTTTAATTATCAGATACTTAATAAACATAGCTGCCTTTACTGTGAAGCAGTGGTTTTCATGGTGTCTCAGACCAGCAGGATCACTGAGGAACTCATTAGAATAGGGAACATTCTCAGAACCAACCCAGACTCCTAAAGAGAGACTTAGAAGTGGCATTCGGGAACCTGTGCACACTAATTTGAGAGGGATTACAAGATGTATATTTTCTGAGGATTTAAGGTAGGCTGTTATGAACAATTCATATTTGTTATTTGGTAGACAAACATTTGATAATGTGTTTTGTAAACATATTTTTACTAAACCCACATTTTACCTCTAAAGATACATAGAATTCAGCTTGATATGTGTTATTTATTCATCTTCATCTGACTTTCTGTTTTAAGAATTTTTATTCACAAAACAAAACAAACAAAAAACCAGAACTTGGGAAACTAAGGAAGGAAGCTCACAAATTTAAGGCCAGACTAGACTATGTACTGAAATGCTCCCTGCCTTAAAAGAAAAAAAAAAAAAAAAGTAGTATGTGGAAAAGAGAGTTCCCTACTTTAAGTATACTACCTTTAGTGGTCCTAATATATCCACTTCTTAGTTATGTTTTTAGATTTATTTTTATTTGTGTGTGTGTGTGTGTGTGTGTGTGTGTGTTTATGGATATGTGTACTTGCATGCAGATACCCACAGTAGTCCAAAGAGTGCATCAGATCCCCTTAGGCTGGAGTTACATGCAGTTGTGAGTTGCCCAGTGTGGGTCCTGATAACCAAATTTCAGTCTTCTACAAGAGCAGCAAGTGCTTTTAATGGCTGAGCCATCTGATCAGCCCCAAACTCTTAGTTATATTTTTAAAAGCTAACTTTTTAAAATTATTACATTGTTTTTTGTTTTATTTATTTATTGTTTTCAATACATCTTGACTAGTTTTCCCTCCCTCCATCCCTCCTACCCTTTCCCCCAGATCTACCCCTCTGTTTCCCTTCAGAAAAGAGCAGGCCTCCCAGGGATAGCCACTGAACACGGCATAACAAGATACAGTTAAGACTAGGCACAAACCCTCATATCAAGGCTTGGTCAGACAACCCAGTAGGAAGGAAAGGGTCCTAAGACCACACAAAAGAATCAGAGACACCCCCACTCCCACTGTTAGGAGTCTCACAAAAAGACAAGGCTAACAATCATAACATTTAGGCAGAGGACCTAGTGCAAACCCATGCAGGCTCTGTGATCGCTGCTACTTGGTTGGTATCTGTGAGCTGTGTTCTCCTGGTATCTGCCACCCCACTGGCTCCTACAATTCTTCATTCCCCTCTTCCATGGGGTCCCCCAAGCTCCAAGGTGAGGGACCCAATGGAGATCTCCAATTTTGGCTCTCTCTCCGCCTAGTGTTTTGTTATGGGTCTCTGCTCCTATTAGCTGTCTGTGGAAGCCTCTCCGATGATGATTGGGCTAGGCACCAATCTGGAATTCTGGCAGCCTGAAATGGTCTCTGGTCTCTTTTTCTAATACTGTATTTATTCTTTGACAATTTTATACATGTATTATACAATGTATCTTTGTTGCTATTTTTCTTTTATTTTTAAGATTATAACATAATCACATCAATCCCCCACCCCATTCCTGTTCCTCCAAACCCATATACCCCTCCTTGCTCTTTTTTCATTAATTGTTGTTACATTCATAGACGTATATACATGTATATTCCAGTCTGTATAAAGTTAACTCATCTGTGCATGTTTGCAGGGCTGACCATTTAGTACTGGATAACCAATTTGTGTACTCTTCCCTGGGGAAGACTTATTTCTCCTACTCTCAGCATTCCTTAGTTGCCTCCAGTTCTTTGTGTAGGATTGAGGCCATCTTTCCCTTGTCCACTTTGGCATGTCTGTAGCTAGAGTTTTCCTGCCTTGCCCACAATCAGGACAAATCTGTCACCCGCCAGTCCCACAGCCGCTCAGACCCAACCAAGTAAACACAGAGACATATATTGCTTCCAAACTGTATGGCTGTGGCAGGCTTCTTGCTAACTGTTCTTATAGCTTAAATTAATCCATTTCCATAAATCTATACCTTGCCATGTGGCTCGTGCCTTACCGGCATCTTCACATGCTGCTTGTTATGGCGGCAGCTGGCAGTGACTCCCTCTGTCTTCCTGTTCTTTCTTTTCATCTCTCTGTTAGTCCCGCCTATACTTCCTGCCTAGCCACTGGCCAATCAGTGTTTTATTTATTGACCAATCAGAGTAATTTGACATACAGACCATCCTACAGCACATATCTGTTGTCCTTGTTCAACACATGTTTAGTTAGTCATGTTAGTGATACTTTCAGTGTCTTGCTTCTGACATTACTTGGAGACATAGTCTCACTGCAAACTTCCTGGGCTTCCAATCTTTCAACTCCCCTTTCAGAGAACAATGTTCACTTAGTCATAGGTGTGGGACTTGTCTTGTTAGATGTATATCCACTGGGACTGTATTCCACAACTACATTTTGGTTGTTGTGGTTTCTGTAATGGTCTCCATCTGTTGCAAAGAGAAGTTTCGCTGAGGAATGAGGACTACACTCATATCTGAAGATTTAGAACTAGGAGCCTCCAATAAGAGAACATGCAACATTTGTCTTTCTGGGTCTGCGTGAGTTAGCTTGCTCAATATGATCTTTCCATCCATTTAACCTACAAACAATGATTTCATTTTATTTACAACTGAATAGTATTCCACAGTGTACCACATTTTCATTATCCACTTATTGGTTGAAGGCATTTAGGTTGTATCCATATCCTAGCTATTGTGAATAGAGCCATCAATGAACATGGCTGAGCAAGTATCAGTGGAGTAGGATGTAGAGTCCTTTGGGCATATGCCAATGAAGGGTGTAGCTGGGTCATACAGTAGATTATTCTTGAGAGTTCTCTGTAGCTAGAGTTTTCCTGCTTTGCCCACAGTCAGGACAAATCTTTGTCACCTGCCAGTCCCACAGCCGCTCATACCCAACCAAGTAAACACAGAGACTTATATTGCTTACAAACTGTATGGCCGTGGCAGGCTTCTTGCTAACTGTTCTTATATCTTAAATTAATCCATTTCCATAAACCTATACCTTGCCATGTGGATTGTGGCTTACCGGTGTCTT